TCTTCTTCTTCTTCTTCTTCTTCTTCTTCTTCTTCTTCTTCTTCTTCGTTGCAGCCTTCCCCAGCTCGTCCATGGAGGGCTTCCCTTGCACGCCCGACGCCGTGTGCAGGAACACGCCCAGTGGGGAGCCCAGCGTAAAGAGAGCGCTCGGGGTGAAGGACAGTCGCTTTTCCTTGATGATGTCCCAGGAAATCACACCTTCGCGCCGGCGTTTTCTGACGATGAAGACCTGCAAAAATAAACACATCCAAATATTGTACCGTCATCCCAACAACTCCTGGTGGCCCCTTCTATCTTTTGCTTGCAATGTCTTGCCTACCCCGCCTCCCAGCGAATGGCCCAGTAGGAAGATCTGGCCCTTGAACTGTGGATGGCATTCCTGCCACTATTTTCGCAGGAGCCCAGCAACGGCCCAAGCCGTCCCAGGTCCAGCCCATCTGAAACACCCGTCCCTTTGGCTTTGGATATCTTTGGATCCACATGGGTGGCCCAGCCAGAGCTGGTCCAAGGCTTTTCCACATATATAACATGGCTGAGTCCCTGCTGACTTTGGAGCTCTACAGGAGCTGATTTTGGTCAGTCCATATGGCTGTCCACATCCGGTGCCGAGATACCATCTGTGTCTCTCCCAAGCTGGCCCCAACACCGTCCTTGAACCTTGCCACGGTTCTCTCAATGCTGGCGCTGGTGGCGGCTATGACCTTGGAGCGCTCCTGCCAGCAGAACACCCAGCAGTCGTGGTTGGTTGAACAAAAGTCTACAACATATCCTGCTAGGATAGCAAACGACCCCTGTTCGTACGTACGGTCTGAACGCCATTTGCCACACAGAAGCCTACTGCATTGACACACACACACACACCATGGTCGCTGTGTCGGGGTACTGGCGCCTGCATGAAAGCCAAACCGTCCACAAGGGAGAGGTTGGCAAAGTCTCTCACCGCGGAAAGGGATGGCAGGGTGATGCTGCTCAACTGCTGATCCATCTCCTCCCATAGGCACCGTGTCGTAAGCTGGCATAAGTGTCCGGCGTTTCGGCCAGTTCCATGGAAAAGGCGTGGGGGAGAAAGGCAAAACACCGTTTTCTGGAGCACCCGCTGGCCGCAGGGAGGGGACCGCTGAAGCGGATGCACTTGGCAAAACAACAAAAATGTATCTATATAACCCTGCATTTCTCGAGATTCTCATCTCGTCAATCATCATCATCTGCCCTCGCAATTTATTGATTTGTTGCTTTCCAAACTGATGAAAACATCAATGTATTTCTCAGTTTGTTTCTCCCCTCTTCCCTCCTCAGAATGCACACTCTGCCACCACTCGGACACCAAGACCTCAATCTTCGGGCCCGAAGCCACAGGATCCTCACCTGCGAGGTTCATAAAGAGCATAAAGGAATTTATCTTGACCTGAGGGATTCTTGTTTTGGATCTTGATGTAAACTGTACACTATTATCTCCAAATAATTCCGCATGGTTGCAGTATTCATCAGTCAACATTACTCAAAAGAGTAGACCCCTTAGGACCCGCAAATCCCTTGCCCTGCAGTCTGGCAGTACGAACAGTTTCATGGAAGCTCCCGGGGGTCCAGGGCCAAATGCCCAGTTCATGTTGGTTTCGTGCGCGTGTTGCTTGCGTGCGTCAAAAACACATTCCAAAACCCGCAGCCACCTGCATGCACACGCAGCTCGGTTCCACCCTCAACGCCTTCTTGCCATCGGCCATCCTTCTGGACAAAGCCACACAGCTTAAGCTGGGCGTGGAGCAGCGTACGCCGCAGCACCCCAACGTCGTGCACCAGGCCACCCCAGCGCCTGGAGCCAAGCGAAAGGGCGAAGAATGATAGATATATATATATATAATATCTAGAACCCATCTGACCTCTGTGTTCATAGAAATGCATCAACTGCTTTTAAACATGTCACACTTAAGTAAAACTTTCACGGATGGATGGACCTCAGATTAAGCTCTTCTAGTACAACGGGGATTATGATGAAATCCTGGTTGTATAAACGAACTTCCCACTAGGATGGTACACACAGGTTTCTCCAACCTTGCTCTGTGGCGGAGCGAGCTCTTATTTCACCGACTACTGCGATAAAGAAAGCTCTTGGATGTGAAGTAAAGATCTGAAGTTGCATTAATTTTGCGGCACTTGCAACCCCACATCGGCGCTGTCGAGCCATTGACTTCTGAGGCCGCCGTTTTCATCACCGACCAGCGTCCACCCCGCGCGGCCTTTGAGCGAACTTCTCGCCGATTCCATGCACGACCACCACGATCTGCCCCACCTTCTCCTGGGATGTGCCCCGAAAACGGCCACGGCACGGGCCGCCGATCTGTGTCAGATGTGTGGGTTCCAACTGGTTTGAATCAAAGAACTGGTTTTTGCTGTGGTCGTTGTGGGATGAAACTCGACATGGCCTCTGCTCTTGTTGTCGGCAGCCTTCGCTCCGGCCCCTTCCCCCAAAGTTACAGGGAAAGCCTCCAAAACGAGCATTTGATGAGAAACTCGCTACACAAGTGATAAACTAGCTCTTTGTGCGAGACTCTGCCAAAAAGCGCCTTAAAGTGCAACCTTATTTTGCCAAAGGATCAGATTTTGTGGCACTGCGTGCAGATTTCGTGGGCGGGAAGGGGGGTGTTGGGGGGCAGCGCCTCCCAATTAGTGCACAAAGCCACGGGTTTAAGGATCGTGCGTGCTACATTGGCCAGAGCCCGCAGAATAGATTGAGAATCTAGCTGTCAATCACGGCAACTGGCAACAATACATCTGAATGGGGGAAAACAACAGCCTCAGCAGTCAGCAGGAGTCACAACAGCGGCCACTTGCAGCAGCACAGTGCCCACCACACATTGTGGCAGGTTGCTCATAGAAGCCAGGGAAAGCCAACAAAAGGGGCAACATTTTTTTCAACCCTAAAACATTTTTTTTCCACCCTAACCTTTTTTTCAACCCTGCAACATTTCTTTTTCACCCTCGAACATTGTTTTTTGACCCTGCAACATTTCTTTTTCACCCTCGAACATTGTTTTTTGACCCTGTCACATTCTTTTTTAACCCTTGTACCAAGACCCCTATTTCGCATACCCAGACGCGTCCTTGCTCCGACTACTTCGGCCACGAGCCCCTAGTAAGATACTCCGCGTACTAAAGTTGCACTACAAAGTCGCCAGTTCTCATCTTCCGCGGGCACCCGGCGAATCGCACTCTCGCCTGCATTTCGCGCACTCGACACGCACGATCTCC